ATTTCTATTCTCTCTCCTTCTCTCTCTCTGTCTCTCTCTCTCTCTCTCTGTCTCTCTCTCTCTCTCCCCCTCCCCCCTCCCTCTCCCTCCCTCTCTCCCTCTCCCTCTCCCTCCCTCTCTCTCCCTCTCTGTCCCTCTCCTCTCCTCTAATCTCTGAGGGATCTAGGGAAGTGTCGAAGACCTCACAGACAGTATGCATCAGAGGCAAAGCTTGAGCCCCAGTCTCCCAGCCTGAAGTTGCCTCTAACCACTCCACCATGCTGCCTCTCTCCTGATAGAAAGTAAGCACTGAATAAAAGCTTGTGGAATATGGTGCAGTGGAAGGAGCTCTGGCTCTGGAGTCAGAGAACCTGGATTCAAATCCTGTCTCTACCACTACCTGTGTGACCTTGCACAAGTCACTCAACTTCTCAGGCTTCAGGTTCTTCTTCTGTAAAGCTGTGAAGGTCAGAGCAGTTCGTCTCTGAGGCCCCTTCCACTTCTCAATCTATGATCATCTGCAATAGCATTAAAATTGCTTCTATCATCTCCTGGCCTATTGGTTGCAAAATCAGATATTTTCTGAAGACTTTCCTTCCTCTTCCATTGCAGCCTTTCCGTATTGCGTGTTACTGTTCAGTTAGGGCCAAATACTCCACCTTCTAATTTCTGCTTGGGGAAAAACAGTCAAATTAGCAGGTGTTTGTTTGCTGATGGGATGGGAAGCTGCCCAGTGGCTACCGAGCCAGCTAACAGGCATATCTTGGCCAAGGAAAGGCGGAGGACAGCAGCCAAGAAAACAAGGAGTCCAAAGAACAAAGAACCATGGGATTTGGGGCTGAATAGCTTAGTCTTGAGAAAACAAAATCACAGCCTGGAGGACGCTTCTCTTTCCACACATCCTCCTCTCTCTCCTTCCCTGGGTTCCCTCTCCCTTTGCTTACATTACAAACGTAATGAATGAGAGTTGCCAAAAACCACAATTATTTACCTGGAAGAGTTTAGCAAATGATTTGCATGGGGTTTTGGTTTGTTGATAGGGTATCTGTTGAGTTATTTCACTTGATTAGAAATGTAGCTTACATGCATCACTGGCATTATTAGAGGACATAGGCAAGTGTCTCAATGACAGAGGCATTACTGCCTTGCAATTGTGATCTATACCTTTGGAAAGCCATACACATGCCTATAAACAAAGATCCATTGACTTATTGAAGTCCTAGCATGTGGTAGATATAGATGATTCCCAGGTCTATGTATCTAACAATTCTTAATCTCTTGTTAATGTTGACATTTTATATTTTTGTAAATATATACCCGTATCACTTAAGTTGTTACCTTTATTGTCATTTGGTTTGGCAAAATAGGTTCTAATGATTTTTTTCTTCATTTAAATAACTTAATCCTAGAGAACTGATGGGTAAAAGAATGACTCATAGAAACAATAGATAATTTCATTAAAGCAAATGACACTAATGAGAGATTATAACAAAATACGTGGCGTGCAGCCAAAGCAGTCCTCATGGCAAATGTGTATGTCGTTGAACTCTTTCATAAACTGATCAACATGTTGGCAATCAGCTAAAATAAATAAAAAACCCTTAAAACATCAAAGCAGTAAAATTAAAAACTTCAATTAAACACCAAAATAGAAATTCTGAAAATCAAAGAAGACATTAACAAAACTGAAAGCAAAATTTAATTAATAAAACTGAACTTTTTTTTTCCTAAACAAAGTAATTAAATAGTTAATCCTAGACTCTCTCCTTTATATTCTGACCCTAAGGCCATTTCTTATTTGTGGCAAAAGCAGTATCCTCTTCCTCCAATACTTCAGTTACACATTTAGAAATATATGCTTTTGATATAGAAGGTCACCAAAGACTTTCTGAAAAGCCAAAGTTGATTGAGTATAACCATCTGGTTTTCCTCTACTTGAAGTTTGCCTTCTCGAAGAATTCCCGTATATTTCTCCTTGGAGAGGCAGCTAGGTAGCACAGTAGTTAGAGTGTCAGACTTGGAGCTGGAAAGATCTAGGCTCAAATCCTACCTCAGACACTGATTGTGTAACTGGATGAATCACTTAAAATCTTAGTGCCAGTTTTTTCACCTGTAAAGTGAAGATAATAATATCACCTGCCCCAAATGGTTGTTTTGGGTAACAAGTGAGATAACATACCTCAAGTGCTTTGCCAACCTTAAGGTGCTATATAAATGCTAACAATGGTAATGATGATGGTAATGGTTATGCTGGTTGTTAGGTTGGATCTGCTACCTTTCATCCAGTTGGCTATTTCCATTGAAAGGTATTTGATAATCTAGTCCTTTGTAGGAATGTCATCAACTTCTCCTGGAGGGATAGGAGATTTGGACATCTCTTAGGGTACTTTATGTTTCCTGTAATTCTCTTGGGTAGGGACTGGGAAGAACAAATTCACTCAGAAATATTTTTTTTCCTACCCCATCTTGGTCTTTGGCTTTAAATCCACTGTCATCTCAACATTAAAGAGATTCCAATTTGCAACCAGATGTACATAGCTGCTTTCCCAGAAAAGAGTGATGATACTTTAAATTTTGGTTTCTTTGTGGTGATTTACGTTAACTTTACGGTTCATCTGCCAGAGCCCAACTAAGCATGGATGCTGCCATCCTAAATAGTTAAAGAAATGCCATATCTGTATCTCACTTTGGATGAGATCGTGTGTGAAGTTTCGATTAGGCCCTAATATACAGTGAATTTTCTACAGCTGTTTCTTGATATTTATGCTTCCATATCTTCCTTCCTCTGAGGAGCTGTGCATGCTTTCTAAACATTAAATTATTTATCCACCAAACAGCCCTCTGAAGTAGATAGCTCGTGCCATAAAATGTTAGGGAATTTGTTAAAAGCAAAAAAAAAAAAATCACTAAGAACCTTCAAGAACATAAAACAGTAAAGCTATAGGTGACCAATGAAAGAGCAAAGATAGAAATAATAATTATGCCTCATATTTCCTTCATTCATTCTAGTTTTCAAGTTCAAGTCAATTCATAGGATCAGAGGATAAGATTGTAGATTTAGAAGGGAAGACGACCTGAGAGTTCATTTAGTCATGTCAGGTTCAAGGCTCATAGATCTCCTTTTGGAAGATGCCTCCGGGGCCTAGTTTAAATTGCTCATTTTACAGATGGCAGAATCAAGGACCAGAGTGACTTGCTCAGGGTCATACAGGTAGCAAGGAACATTTATTAGGTGCCGGCTAAGTGCTAAGGCTACAAACCCAAAAACGAAATCAATCCCTTCCCTCAGGTTGCTTACATTCTAGTGGGAGGAAGGAACATATACACAGATAATTAATTCTGAAGTGCATACAAGGTAAATGTAAAGGTTTTTTTTTTTTAAGGGGAAGAGGGTTAACAACTTGGTAAGGGTTGAGGAAATGTCCAATGAAGGGGGAGAACTTGGGGCAAGCCTTGAAGGAAGCAGTTATGCAACTATCATCTTGTTTAATTCTTTTGTGAGGAGAAACAGATATTTTTATTTCCATGTTGCAGCTGGGGAAACTGAGGCATGCACAGATTATGGGATTTGTCTTGGGATACATTGCTGGTTAAGATCATCAAATCATAGCTTTGGAACTATATGAGTCTATGGATATCATTTTAACACTATTTTCCAGATGGAGAAACTGAGGCACTGATCAAGAAAATGACTTGTCCAAGGTCATGAGGGTTTTAGGTGGCAGAACTGGGCTGTCACTAGATCAATCACGCTGTTTCCTAATGACAAAATCAGGATTAGAACCTAGGTCTCCTGACTCCTCATTCAGGACTCTTTTGAGAAGACTAGTGAAATACAGGTGGGTTAGGTCATGGCAAGACAAGAGCATAAAAGATTAGGGCTCTCTTCTTTGGGAATTGTTGGGTGAGCATGCCAAGCTGACAGTTTCTTCTAAATGTCTTCTGCCCTACAGCCTTAAGGAAAGCTAATTTTCTCCCTAATCCCTACATGAACTAAAGAGACAAGATTGATTTTTGGTGTGTGTGTGTGTAGGGGGGAGGGGAACACTAAAAATATGACACTGCATAACATGTGTTAGCCCCTGGAAAGTTGGGACGTTTCTATGTTAGAAGGAGATAACTGGAATCTGGCTTCCACTTCAGTTAATAATTCTGGGCAGTTTAACTGCCTCTGGCCCACTCCATAGTGCTGGTCTTTTTTCATCACCAATCATTCCAAGGCCAAAGATTAGGATTGCTGGAAATAATACAAGAAGGGAAATGGAAAACCTTTCCATTGTTAGAGTCATAGCTAAGAATTCTAAACTTAAAAGGGACAGTGGGTAAATGGAATTTGGGAATTATCCTGCTATAACATACCTAGGGAAACACTGTGGCCTAATGGATACAGAGACCAAGCTTAGAGCTGGAAGCAACATTAAATTTGGTCCCTCTCACTTTACAAATGGGGAAACCGGAGAGGTGAAGTGTTATATGGCTAGCAATTGTCTGAGGTGAGATTTGAATCAGGATTTTTTCTGAATCCGACTTCAGTGCTCTATTGTACTGTAAGAGCTGACCTCAGAGTTAGGAAGCAGGGACCATGTTTGACCTGTGACATATTGTAGCTGTTGGATGGAACAGATCTTGTCACCTCTGAGTGTTCTAGGTGCTAATATGTGTCAATAGAGGAAAGTCCCTAGACAAACGAAATCTCAGCTCTCGTCATTCTCCCCCTCCTCACTCCACTCCAAATAGAGAAACTCATGTGGCTTCCAAGGTACCCATGAGAAGGGTTACAAGGGTGCTGATGTGGGCAGGGCCAGCTCCTTTTTGGCATTCCTACCCCTTTCCTATTTCAGAAGATATGAGAAGCAAGGCACAGGTTTCTATGACTATGTCATTCATATCCCTGAAATTTAATTGACGATCGCCTCTAATGGAAATGAGTCCATAGTGAAAGAAAAGTGGAATTTCTTTGTGTAAATCTAGCCAACCATATTCTAGTCTGAGAAAATATGCTTTTCCCTCCCATCTCATAGGACTTAAAATCTCCCGCCCAGCGAGATGAGATTGCGGGGGCCCGGGCTTCACTGAAGGAAAACTCTCCTCTTTTGCATTCGATTTGTTCTGCGTGCCTAGAGCATAATGATGTGGCCTCTCTCCGAGCCAGCAAGGACACAGTCTGTGATGAGATCCAGAATGCCCTCGAGGTGATTTCAAATGCATCGCAAGGGATCCAGAGCCCAAAGGCTGAGCCAGAGCCTCAGTCAGCTACACTGGGAAATGCATTGGATGAACTTGAGGTAAGACAGTAAAGAAGCTGCCAGGAGCAGACTGAGAAGATTCTGAGATGTGTTTGAAAATGAACTTCAGCTAAGGTCCTTAGTGATCTGGTGCCGTTCTGCCTTCCTAGTCTCGTTGAATATTCCTGTCTTTTATTCACTCTGTGGCCTAGCCCAAGTGACCTCCTTGCTGTTCCTCACATGACATTCTATTGCTAGTTTCTGTACATTTGTATAAGCTGCATCCTGTCTCCTTATCTCCTCTTAGAATCTGTAATTTCTTTAAAAACTAAATGTCATCTCCTATATGAGGCCTTTTTCTGATCCTATCCGCAGTACCACCTTCCTCTGAAGTTATCTTTTCATATATTTATATTGATGCCTATTTTATATCCACTTATATATGTACATTTTGTTTTCCCTGGTAAAGGGCTGGGTTTTTTGTTTGTTTGTCAAATTTTGTACCCCAGTACAGTACTGACAGTATCTGACAGTACATATCAGGCCCTAATAAGTACTTGCTAATTATCAATAGAAAAAAGTCTCTTATCCCCAGAGGTCCTGATTCCTTGGATCTCCCTCTGAAGATCATGACAAATGTTGACTGGGCCAGATGATTTAACAGAAAAAATCACCTGGCTTCTCAGAGGTCCACAACCAATGTGAAGGGTCAAATAACAAAAAACCATTGGCCAACAAGATGAATGAGATAAAATAAAAACTGATTAGTGCCAATTTCTCTTTTGAAAAAACTTTCCTATATAAATACTAGTATTTCACTGGTAACATAAAAAGAAATAAATCTGCATTCTATTATGCACACACGATGTTTACATAGATTCTCTATGAAAGGGTTTTGGGAAGATGTGGACAATAAGCCCAAGAAATGAAAAGGCATAGATGGGTGGTAATATGTAGCCTCGGAGGGTGTACCCATGTCAATGAGACAATGGATCCATTGGAGTATTGAGCAAGTGTTTGTGTAGACATTGCAATTAACAAACAGTTGGCTCCAAATCCTACTGTTCTAATTATATATTTAGTAGATGCTTGATGGAATTAGAAACCAATGTAGCAATAACCTTGAAATATTCCATTCCTTGACTCACTGAAAATGAAATAGACAATTTGGTTTCTAATCCAACACTCCTATTATTTGTTTCTTAATTATTCATTTCTTCATGAAATTTTTGGAAGACTCTTAATGCAAATGCAAATTTTTATGCCAGAGCCAATTCCCTAGGTCCTGTCCTATTTTGGCTCGTCTTCCCTGCATATTTTCACATTTATTCTTTCAGTAGTCTAGGTGCACCTGCCCTGGTCAGGCCACATCTCATGTAGTGTGTCCAATTGTGGCAGCCATATTTTATGAATGGCATTTTTATAAGCATGGGGCAACCAGGTAGTAAAGGTATCATAAGAGTCTAGATTTAGAGTTTAAAGAGTCCTTAGAGACCATCTAGTCCAACTCCTTTATCTTGTAAATAGGGACTCCGAGGTCTCTAAAGGTTAATGATTTGCTCAAGGTCAGAAAATTGGGAAGTCAGGATCAAAAGTCAGGCCCTCTGACTCAAAATCCCCCAGTTTCTCCATTGTACCACAATGCCTGGAGTCTACAGTCAAGTCTCACAAGGTATCAAGTGAGAATTAAAGATGCTGTCAGAGGAATCAAGCATCAGTTCAGTGAACAGGTCTCAGGCCAGTGTCTTAGATGGCCAGGTCTGATTTAATAGATGCCTTCAGTGGTTAGCCCTGGAGACAGAGGCAAAGTTGGGGGTCATCATTTTGTTCAATATATTGCTTTTGGCATATCATGTACAAGGCATCCATAAGGTATTTGAGCACAGTTCAGAATTGTGCTCACAATATCCTTGCAGCAGACCCTGTGAAAGTTTCTCCCCAATCTGGTGATTTTGAGGATCTGCTTGTAAGATTTGAGCTCAGCAGAAACTCTGAAAATAGATGCAAAAGTCTCCCCGATTACAACTGAGATGTTGATGTCAAGGCACTCATTTAAATTCATAGGCTTTCCCTTTGGTTAGGTAGCCTGTGGATTCTTTTAATCATTTCAGTGTTGTCTGTCCCTTGACCTTTGGAATGGGGATCTTTGTCCTTCAGGCAGGTTAACAGTCTGTATGTGATGACTGGCAGGATGAGATTGGCCTTTAGTTTCAACACTGAGGTATTTTAGACTGACACCATACTGCTGGATGAGCAGTGGAGAATGGGGCAGCTTCATCTTCACCCAAGAGGAGTGGGTGCTCCCTTCTGATTTGCTGAAGCTTTTCATCATTTCCTATAACTTCTGCGTGAACGGTCAGCTGGTCCAACTAGAGATGTCCCTTTAGCTTGCTGAAGGGGTTGAAATACATCATCTTTTCCCAAAGCTTGTGTATATTCAGGGGTTTGAAAATGGGACACAGTAGTTGGATGAAGTTAGTGGGGATGGAATATCAAGGACTTTCAAGAGTTGCTTGTACTTCCTGCCAAATTCTTTGGAAGTGCTTTGGAGGCAATTCAAGGCAAGCTTATTGTGGCTGTTCAGTTCTTAGTGGAAGTTAATCTGATGTAGTTGTTCTCTATGTATACTGGTCTAGGGTGTACTTCAGATAATCCAAGAGGCAGCTGTGATTGAGCTTGTAATGGTGGGAGGGGGCACTAAGGCTGAAGATGAACGTAATAACATCTCAAGTTATTGCCCTCTGATAACTGCACAACATCATTTCACATTATATTATAGAAAGGGTGATCTGATCCATGCGCAGAGTGGAGACTTCTCTGACTTTGGGTATAAAGGGAATCCACTCATAACATGGATGTCCCCTCTTTGTCTCCTTGTAATTTGGTTTCTGCTAACTCTTCCAAGTCAGTTTCTGACCTGTTTACAGCAGGATCCAATTCAGCACTCGTGAATCCTTAATATGATTGGCGGAAGATGCTTCCCTCTGTATAGATCAGGGCCTGCATTTCCTCATAGGCAAAAGGAGGGCATTGGACTTGCCCTCTAAGATCCCAACCTGCTCTATGATCCAGTGATGCTATGACTAGATCCTCACTCAGGACTCCTCTGGTTCTAAAGTGCCAATATTGGCATCCTTGCATATCTTAGGAAAAAAATGCTTTCCTTGTGTGGCATCTTCCAATTTACCCGATCTTTACTGCCATCCTTATGTATTATCAACCAGTTCATGGAAACAGTTCCTAGTGAAGACCAGAGAAAAGCAAGCTAGTACAAGATGTTTGCTGGCAACTGAGTTTAATACTTCTTATTTCTGAGAAACACTGATGGTTTCCATGGCTGTCAGAATGAGATAAAGCAGAATTGATTGAGCATTTGACCTTTTATTATTTTAAAAATGATTTTGGAAATTAAATGGCAGAACTTATTTTTATTTACAGGAAATATGATTGGATGAGGATCTAAAGTAACCTTTGGTTCACGCTGCTTCTGAAAATATAATACAAAAGAGTAAATGGATGTAGTAAATACTCTGTTGGGAGCAAGTCTCATTAAATGTTTATAGTGTGGGAATGTCTCAGATCACTTACTCAACAAATGCTGGAAGCCACAGATTTTCTGCAGTCTTCATCTTTCCCCACAATGGATCATGGATATCCCACCTAAGACTTCTGGGTAGGGAAGTGCACAGTGGATTGCAAGACCTCATTAGTCAAATAGACTCACCAGCAATGCTAACAAGAAGTGGAGTATTCCTCTCTTGACTTTGTAATTGGATGAGAACTGACAAAGTTTGATGAGAATACTTAGACATTTTGAGAGATCTGTGAATTCTTGGGCCCTCCACTGACTCAGATCACGACAACTCCGTTTCTTCTTCTAGAATCAGATATTTAAATTTAGAACTGGAAGGAATCTTAGAGATCACAGAGGTGACAAAATTTGGTGCAGGTCACAAAAGTAGGAAGTAGAATGATTCAAACTCGTCTTGTGTCTTCTAAATCGATCAATCAACAAATAAAGGTTTATTAAACACCTGCTAGATTTCAGGCACTAGGCTGGGCATGAGAATACAAAACAGAAGTGGGCTAATTCTTACCCACAGGGAACTTAGATTCTATCAGGGAAAACATTTACATATGTAAGTATATACAAGATATATGGAAAAGAAATACAAAGGAATTGGGAGGAAGGGCACAGGAGCCAGGAGAATCTGCAAAGACTTCATTAAGAAATTTGCCACTTTCCATTGCAGTCTTAACTCAATGTGATTTGTGCCCAGATTTCCCCTTAAATCTACCAGAGAGGATCTCCCCTGCATTATCCATTTCAAGCATTGAGAATGATGTTTATATCCATGTTTTCACCTGTATAGAGAACTTCCTGTGTGAGAACTTCCATGACCCATGCAGATTACTGCCTGCTCTATAATTTGTTATATCATGGCTTCTTAACATTTTGTGCCATGACCCCCTTTGGCAATGTCTGTGGAAGCCTATGGACCCCTACTCAGAATTATGTATTTTAATGCATAAAACAAGTCAAAAGGATTACAAAGGCAACCAGTGATATTGAAACACAATGATCAAAAAAGCATACAGGTAGCTAGGTGCAGTGATTGGAACACTGGGTATGGAGCCAGGAAGATCCGAGTTCAAATTTGGCCTTAGACATGTATTAGCTGCGTGACCCTGAGCATGTCACTTAACCCCTCTTTGCTTCAGTTACTCATCTGTTAAATGGGGACAGACTGGAAAAGGAAATGGCAAACCACTCTAATATCTTTGCCAAGAAAGCTCCATGGACAAATGGCCATAGGGTGATGTAGAGTTGGACACAACTGAATGACTGATCATCACAGAGACAGTTAGGTGGCATAGTGAGTAGGGAATAGGAGCTGGAGTCAGGAAGCCTGAGTATAAATCTTCCCTCAGACGCTTACCAACCATGTGACCCTGGGAAAGTCATATATCCTTTTTCCTCATGTGGGATTGATAACACTTATGCAGCAGGATTGTTGTGAGGGTCAAATGAGCAACATGTGTAAAATTATTTGCAAACC